GAAAACCTTGATGCTTCTTCTTCTTCTTCTTCTTTTTATTCTTCTTGAGAGCGAGAGAAAGAGAGAAAGATTTCGTCTGCTTCTGGCGGGTCTGTCGCTGTCTACAGCGTCTACTCGGCGCCAGCATATTCAGAACAATTTCCGCCAAACTCACTCCATCAAATGTCAACTGTCATTAACCACTTCTTTAAAGCTGGAAGCTACATCGCCGCCGAACTTTCGGCTCGAATCTTAACCTATTCACTAATTCTCGCCGTCCACCCGATTTTCCCACTTCTTTCCTCGTTTTAAAAACAAGTTCATGGTTACCTTTTTTCCCCACATTCTATCGACTTGATTCGGCATTTTCGCCTTTCCTATCAAGCGACCGTCACTACAGTCACTCAGTCCAGTGCTGCTCTCCTCCCTCCGTCAGCTCTGGCCATCTCTCTCGCTCTTTCTGTCTCAGTAATAGGCGTGTAATTGGAGCCTGGATACTGGCACCATGTTTCCAAGACTCCTCTGTACGGCTTGGTTACGTTTCGAGGAGGCATAAAAACGCTTTTCACGAAATCGCCTAGCCTCGACTGCAACAGTATTCTGCCTCGGCAGGGTGCCTAAAGTAGTAAAATCTACAGAAAAGACATAAAATTTAAGATAAGTGATGAACTTGTTCTGCCCTCTGCTGCTCACCCGGCCACTTACACGCACACGCCCATGCGGCCCGTGTGTGTGTGTGGTCCACTCCTCTCTCCCTATGACTGCCACTTCGGCCAAAAGCATAGTGTGATTTTATAGCCCAGCTGCCCGATGTGCATCAAAGCGGGCACGGCCAGTCCGAAGAGTGATGGGCATGCGATGATGTGGAGTCTGACGGGCGACCAGGCCGTGACTCGCTTTACCCGCCCTCTTCGCCTCCACGAGGCAGCAGATTACGGCTTGTGGGCAAGAAATAAAATTGCCATTAGCCTCTGCTCGAGTTCATTCGCGGCTTGTTGAGTGCAGTCAGTTTATATTCAAAAATTGCTGACAGTCGCATAAACTACTTACATCGGAATTCAGTAACGTCGTCAAGAACACCGGCAAACATGTAATTAGCTACTTGACAAGCACGTGAAAAAAATGATTTGGAAAAGGCCCCACTTGCTTTGACTAAAGCATCTGCTCTGTGAGCTATTGGTGACCGATAGAGCAGGCGAACATTAATAATAGTCTTTAAAACTACTCAAATCGAACTTAAGTAGGTCAACACCGTACCAGCAGATGCCGTCCTTCGCGGAAACTGGGTTTCGATGAATCTCCTCAGATAACATTGTTAAGGGACCTTCATTTCGGATGAAAGTGCATGAAGAAGAGATTCGTTGGTCGATCTCACCAGATGAGGACGG